CTACAGGCCGGCCGGGTCCCGTGGGAGTCGCCTCCACCCACGCCGCAACACAGCAGAGCACGCGAGCCTCGAGAGTAAACGAGTCCGCCCCAACCAAACGAGGCTGCTGGCACCGGGCAGTAGCAAGGGGCGGGGGGCACTCGGGACGCACGTGGGCGCGGGACCACTGCTCACCCTCCCTACCACGCCCCGCATCTCCTCACCTCCAGGCTCACCGCGCCCCTCGACAAGAAGAACTAGGAGGAGCAGGTGGAGCACGCGGGGGCCCGACGCCCAAACAGCCATCGCCCGGTCCCTGCGGGAAGGGAGACCTTCGAGGGAGGCGGCGCGGGCAGTGGGATCCACGAGAGGACGAACGCCACCGACAGCCTCCCCTCCGCGAGAAGCGCCTCAGCCGAGGCTCAGAGCACTAGGGAGCGGTAGACGCTCAGCCTCACTGGGATCCCTCCCAAAGCCCAGCTCCTGAGCCCGCCCAGACGGCGTCCTTGTCTCCCCCGCCCCGCCCTTTTCCCGGTCCTGCCTCTGATTCGACCCTTCTGTCCCTAGCTCCGCCTTTGTCACCTAGGCCCCGCCCCCTTTCCCCGCCCCGCTCGCCGTTCAGGGCCTGCCTTCCTCGTGCAGCTGCCGCGGGCGCGCCAAGTGGACCCCATCTGGAGACCTAACATTCTGGACTAGCAAGGCGACCCCAGGCTCGTCGTCCTTCCTCTCTGGGCCTGTTTCTCGCCCTTAAAATAAGAGGCTACACTAGAGGACGTGGACAGCTGTGACTACAGCTCTGCCACCCATTCTGTTATCCACTGGGAGATCACGAGGTGTTTCAGATGCCGGCAGTGCCACCGTGTCGCCGTCAATTAACGTTTGTAAACATCAGAGCCTTGATCTGCCACAGAGATTTAGCACGCTGACGAACATGGACGCTGACAGCGGGAATCACGCCTGGATTCCCTGGGCCCCACCCTGGATCTCATGCCTTCGTTTGAAATTGATTAGAACGCTCCATTTGGTTGAAGGGATTCGGGCAAATTACCCTAAACTGCAGTAGCAGAGCGTGCAATGTACTGTTCACAGAAATTGCATCATGAGCCAAACTTGATAAATCTGTTAAAAATGAGATCTGGCCACAAAGAATCTCAACAGTAGCCTTCTTCAGTTAAGGTCTAAGCGGCACAGGGAAAATAAAGCCAATACCTAAGGAAGCCAGTGTGTTTAAGCAGGTCCTAAAGAAAAGAGCACAGAAAAGGGATGCACGGGTGATAACCAGGCTAGTCATTAATTACACTTCTGCACAGGCATGAAAGACAGCACTTAGCAACCCTTCACTGCGGATCTATATTTCTTGCTGAAGAATTCACAGCCTTACAGACTCTTATGCAGTTCATTCTCACAGTGTTTGGGTGACTTCAGAGTGCTAGTCTGCCTGTATAGCTAAGGGATTTGAAAGAGAGAAATGGAGTAACTGCCAAAGGTCACAGTACCTATAATGGCAAAACTAGAATTAAGTGGTTTTCTGCTCAGCCACTGTAAGCATAATTGGAACTTCTAGACTTCCCCAGGGTGTTGTATTAATAACCACAGGAAAAAAGCTCCATCTGCGTAGTGTACAAAAAACACTATTAGCTGTTGCTTTCTTTTTTGAAGTGAAAAGCAGTGTGTAATTTGTTGGGCACTTTAAAATCCAAGCAGATAATCACAGAATTTAATGTATGCATCTTGGATGGGTTTTTCTTTTTCCCTAGAAGGATTCCGAGTGCCAATTACCCATGGTTGCTGGATAGGGTGGCTGCACCTGAGTCCGATGACCGGCATCTTCCCACTGCTAGGAGACACTGGGAAGCCCGATGAGGGCGAAGACTGCTGCTTGCTACTGCAGCTGCCACCTACAAAGTTCCCCTTAAAGTAGATCTGCCCACCAACTTCCAAAGGGACTGTCCATTTCTTTATAAATCTTACGTTGTCTGTTACTATCTCCCCAAAATATGGCCTAGATAGAAAATAATCAGCCTTGAAAACTAGAGATAAAAAAGTGCCAGCCCCGATCAGTCTATCCTTGTCTTACCTGCCTTACAGAGTAGCCACTGAGCAAGAGAATAGTGATGGCAGGAATGGACTCAAATCCTGATGTCTTGTCCCAAGTACTCCTTCCATGATCTTATCAACTTTCCTGGCTTTAAATCCCATCCATGGACGGATAAACAAGTTCATACTCAGGTGCTGACATCACCTCTGTGCTCCAGGATATTTGACTATGAACTTCACATCATTAATATGTGGACGTGTTACTTAATATGTTCCAAACCACTTCATCCTCTTCCTCTTCCCACCTCAGACAGTGGTTCCACCATCCAACTTGTTACTCAAGCTAAAAACCTGGAAGTCAGTTCCCCCCTCTGCGTTACTCACCCGGCACATCTGATCTGATTCAACATTAAGTGCAATCCAGGAGCGATGGTGCACGCCTGTAGTCCCAGCACTTGGGCAGCTGAGGCAAGACTGCCAAGAGTTCAGGGCCAGTCTGAACTAACTACATTGTGAGATCTGGTTTCAAGAAAGAAAGAAAAAAAAAGATTAAGTGCAATTTATCTTGAATTTAACTTGGATCTGTATCCTGCTTCTCCTGTCCTTACCTCTAGTTTAGACTCCTGACCCAGCCTCTCATTTGAGCCTCTTCCTCTACACCCTCCTGCACATCCTGCGAATGGCAGCCTGAAACAAAAACAGAACCCCAAATCCTGGTCATGATTCCTAGAAGAGCCCCCCACCCCTGCCCTCACAACTGCCACAAGCGCCCCTCCTCCCAGTTCCTACTTGTGCTTCAGCCAGGCCTGTCCGCTCTCCAACAGCACACCCACCTGTCTAACCTGGGTCCTCCACGCCCTTACCTGTTAGTCCCCATCGATGCCTGTTCCCTCCCTTCACCTTACCTCGGCAATCTGTCACTCCATTCTCTTTGGCCTGATTGCCCCCAGATAACAGCCCTGACCAGCAGCAGCTGGGCTTGCTTTATTCTCATATAAATAGGTGAGGCCCATATACTGAGCACACTCTGGATGCCCAAAATGTTTGTTGGGTGAATAAATGAATAATAACTTCTCATTGGCCCACGATCTCACAGCTAACGAATTAGAAAATGAAGAGTTGGGACTCAAACCCAGGTGACCTGAATTCATTCGCTACACTAAATCTCTCTCCTAAAATCCCATTCCTGGTCTTTAAAGTAAAGCCTAAAACCCCATCTGGAAGAAAGATGAAATTAGTGAAGTGATTAGCAGAGTGTCCAGGAATCCAATAAAAAAGTACCCATTATTATTTGTGTGGCAATCATTCGCTGATGTGATTTTGCACTGACAAGCTCCTAAGGAAAGGGCAGTTGGTAATTTTGAGTTAAAACAGAGGACACGAAAAGGAACTTAGGAGCCTGTAGAAAATAGCAGTAATCCTGCTATTGGCCTGTGGTGTGGTCTAGCAAATCATCTTTTATATCAATGTTGTTGGCTTTTCTTTTTTATAATGGGGTCAACTGAGCTAAATTCAGAGCGAGGCAGCTTCTGCAAATCCTCCATTCATCATCTCCATTATGACTTCGTGATAAATTCTGCTGTAAGTCTTTAAGATGAAAGCCAATCTGAAAAGTTAATTAATAAAAATGAATGCTGTCAGTTTTATTGCTGAAATTAACGCAGTTTTATAGATTAAAAGAAAAGAGCAAGTGTGGATAGGATATTAAAATGCAATCTTTCAAAAAGAAATGATATAAAAAGAAAAAAAATCTCTTTCAAGGGCTGCTTGGCCAAAATCAAAATGTAAAAGTGCAGACATATTTTAATGCAGAGAGCTCCAAGAAAGGAAATTAATTGGCCATATTACATTGTTAGAACTAAATATGTCATAGTACATAAAATCAAATATTACAAACATATAAGCCATATATAAAGCTTAGCTGTCCCAAAATAATTTAATATTATATAGCACAATGTCACAGACCCAATTATCAATAGAAGACAAAAGCTAGCAAGGATATGGCAATTTAGTTACTATACAGTACGTTATAACATATCCTAGACAAATGTCAGCTCTTAGGAAAAATGAAGATATTTCCACCTTAGGAAAATGCAGTACAACATTCCACGTCCTCGAAATGCTCAGAGCTTTTAAATCTGAGAGTAGTGAATCACATTGTGGAAGGATTTTTACTTTTAAGACAAATCTGGACTTCTGTGAAGTTCTTCAGCAGAGCTGCAGTTAACCGCAAGTTGCTTAACCTGGGGCCTTGTTCTGAGAAGTGTGTGAGTATCGTCAGGGTGACAGCACTGAGCAATACAATCCCACAGCCCCTGTCATGGATGCAGTCCACCATGTGTATTTGATGCACACTAGCTCAACACTTATACTTCCTAAATTTGTTAGGATATTATAAATATTACTGTGTTACATGATCTGTTCTCCATAAATGATACACCATTATAAATTTATTTTTTTAGTGGTGACAGGTTTTATATTTATTAAAGGTAGGGAAAGAAGCACCCTCTGCAAAGTGAGCTTGGGCCAAGTAAAAGTAAGGAAAATAAGTACAATCACTGTACAGTGTGAGGGTGGATGAGTGGGAAAGAGCACAGTGGCCATTATTATAAATTCAAACAAGAAATGTATGCTCTTTTAAGAAAGATAGGCTTTTAATATCTGCAAGACACAATTGTAAATGTTCAATTCCGTACAAAAGACAGAATCTAAATATTCTTAGTCGGACGTGGTGGTACATGCCTTTAATCCAACACTCAGGAGGCTGAGACAGGAGGATCGCTGTGAGTTCGAGACCAGCCTGGGCTACATAATGAGTTCCAGGTCAGTCTCAACTACATAGTGAGACCCTGTCTCAAAAAAAGCAAATAAATAAATAAATAAATAAATAAATAAATAAATAAATAAATACATAAATAAATAAATGAAAGAACTTAAATATTCTTACCCAACATGGAGTCTGTATCTCCCTCACACTTTCTATTCTGGACATGAGAGATTTTTCTAGATGTGAAATGGCTTGGATTCTCTGCTCTAATTATTCGCTCCTCTAATTTATTTAGTGAAGGCTCACATTCTCACCTAGCTTCATTTCCCTGAAGGACTAATGGACATCAGCGTCCCTATATGGATAAGAAATTAGAGCAGATGGGCAACCTCTCAGCAAGATGAAGAGCTCCCTGGGAAGGTTAGCATAATGCATGGCATTGATTGTCCCAGAGAATTGATTATCTTTAATCTAAACCTGAGCCACCTGATCCAAGCTCTTAACATCAGAAACCTTTGGTAATGTCTGGGTCCACAGCTGTTTCACTTAAGCCTCAACTGCTCCTATTCTTCTGTAACTAACATGCCTGACTCGTGTTAGGTGTTTTCCATTTTTTGAAAACTGGGAAACGCTTGAATTCACCTATATAGAGAAGCATATTGTGATCCTCAGTTATAACTGATCTTCTCAGTTGGTAAAACAGAGTTGAA